TGGTGCCCACGGAGAGGTGAGGCTATCCCTGAAGAACATGGAAGAAAGGTTTCTACCTTTCAACTTCTTGTTGCATTCGGCTACAAAATCTGCAGCCAAACCATCCTCCAGGCGAATTCGAATGACATCTGGATTATCCACTCTATCAAACCAATAACCCGAAGCCCAGAACACACCTTCTTCCTCTAGAATCGGATAAGCATCTGGTGGTAGACGCAAATCCACAAACGACACATACAATCTGTGACAAGATCCCGAGGCATGTTGATGCATGGATCTACCCATGGTAATATTGGGCACGATTCGGCATGGGAAGCGGTTCTTGAGCAGTCGTTGAACACAATTCAAGATTTCATCGTTATTTGGCGGGAGATCAGTGGGAAAAGACGCCATTCCCAAATCGCCGTCACCCATATCATAGCAGAGTACCATGGCTCCGGTTGAGTTGGGCACACAAATAACTGGAACAATTCGTTTGAGTGATGTGGCAGCCTCCTTTGGAACCGAGGTCATGCCCGTCTTCCCGTTCATCACAGAGTCCTCCACCGCATCTGCGTTCGTTTGCCAGAGTTTCTCAGTGGCAGGTACCACGGAGGAGGCTGAGGATTCACCCTCCGAAAAGCTGATAGAACGGGGGGACTTCTCTCCTTCCGGTCCATCAATACGCGTACGTCGTTGTTTCAGTGGGCACTTGCCTGCTCTTAATGATAAATCATTCAGAGCTCCTTGTATCTCGTCAATTCCACTTTGCCTTCTTTGTAATGGCGATGGCTCCACTGAGCCTTTGTTTAAGGGGCCTTGAGTGGTGTCCTGCTGCTGTGACTGAGCATTCAAAGATTGACTCTTCGCTCCTTGAGACGAAGAGGCTTCTCCTTCCGATCTGACTTTCAGGATTGCCTCAGCCGTTGTCGTCGTGTTCCTAGGGGGTGGCTCATTCTGCCCCAACGGTTCCAGACCCGGGGGGAAAGGTTCCGATTCTTACAATGGGTTAGACCGATTATTGAAACCCGGTGTAGCAGATTGGAAAAAGTCAAGGCCCGGAATAGGGCCCGACATAAAAAATTTACCATTATAAATACCAGGGCCCATTGGAGGTATGGGGCCAAAACCATGAAAACCTGCTGGACCATTGTGGTACGGTGGGTGTGATGCACTGAAGTGAAAGGAGGATTGTCGGGGAAGGCCACCAGACGAGCCCGGATCAGGGACAACTTGGTGAATCAGTCCCAACTGTTGATTAACGCGGTGGTGACGTGAACCCTGCCGGAGCAGGAGATGGAATGGGTGATGGACCGTACTGCCCTGGCTTCTGCACATGAGGCCTTGCAGCGGGTAGAGGAGAGGGCTGAGTAGGGGCACGGGAGCTTGATGAGCCTGAGACAGGGTTGGTCGGCTGCCGTGCGTGGCCTCCAGGCTGTGCTGGTGGACGTCGGTTTGCTGACGAGGAGGCACCCTGGGTGGTGCCATGCAGAGGATGATGAGGGCAGATAGGATTATCCTCAGTGTGGTAGAACCATCTACACTTCTTGCACCAATCAGTTGCTTGCAACACAAACTCTAACACAAAGTTTTCCCCATCCTTGCAAAATTCCACTTTCTCCTTCCAGGTTTGTCTTGCTTCAGGAGCAAGATCCAATTTGATGTTCATCAGGCTAGCGTAGTGGCTGTCCTTTTGCGGCGGATACATCTTAATTATTTTGGCCATCGAATTCTCGACCGCCCAGTGAACTTCTCAGCAACTTTTTGGGCCTTCAGATCATCTAGTTCCTTTTTCGTAGCCCAACGGCGGAAACGAACTGGGTATGACACGTTAGGGTGTGGAAAATTTGGATCCGCCAGCGTGATTCTGTCTGAGCCCTTGTTAATCATAAAATCTGCAATCTCCTTTGTTGTGGCAACAAACGAGAAAACGCTAGATCCCTCGAATTTAACCCTTCCTCTTTTCAGAGACGGATTAACCGAGGAATTTGAACACCACCCATCTTCGTAAATGCGAATCAGCATTTCCTTAATTTTCTTTAGTAGTGCTTTAGCCTCGTCAACAAAAATAATGACTACCATCCTTTCCTTCAACCAGCGAATAACCATGTCATCAATTTTTGGGTTGAGGGTGATGGTGGTCGTGCGACCCTCACAAACCACCGTCCCATGGTTCAGACCCTCCGGAAAAACTCCGTCCTCAATGCATTTAGCTATCAGTTCTCGAATCCTACTCTCCTCTGGATCTGGGGAATTTGCCATCGTAACTCCTTCCACAGATAGTCCAACCACTACGGTTTATTATAAGGCCAAACTACAGTCAATAAATGCCGAACAAATTAACCCTACAGGAAAAAGGTACATTGACCAGGACTAATCAGGAGTGACTCTAAGCCCTTTTTCTGGCACCCTGTCAATCTACATGAGAGACACAAGACTGGGCAAGTCGGTTTACAATTACGAACAGTGTGTCATGCATAGTGGGGTATAAAGAGGTACCGACCTTTCGTCGAGGTGAGCTTTTACCGGAATTTGTAAGTCCGCCAACACTTCACCTTCCCCCGCCTTACCAAGGGAGTCAAAGCTGGCTTTGCACCTCACTCCGCTGTAGCCAAATCGCTCCACCCAATCGCGATCTCGTAAGCTTCGCTATTGCAAAGGTCACCTCCTGGCCTCGTCCAACTCTTTCAACGCCGAAGCAACGAATTAGAACCAGCCTCAACTTTTGAGTCGACTACAACGTCGACTATCTCCATGTAAGATTCCAAGTCTCTTGCATGACTTCGGGAATATCCGTGTTCTCACCAACTCGTTTAACCACGTTGTATATTCACGACGCCTGCTAGTACTGACGGGCGCCACTTCGGCGCTCGTCACTTCATATCATTCACGTGTTCCCATAAACCATACAGGGACCCTTCATCAACCCCGATGCCTCCCAAACTCAAAGAGATGGTTGGCGTCATCAAGTGACACGAGGAGGTAGCTGCCTCACTTCCGCCCTGCGGACGTGCGAAAGTGACGGAAAGGCGCCGGCAACTACTGTCGGCAGCGCGGTGCGGAGCGTTACCGGACGCCCGTCACCGCGCCCCCCATTCACAGGAAGATTCGGTTGTCGATTCGGTTGTCGATGTCAATGGGGACCGGTGTATGTTTCCATGTTCTAGCGGAAGATTTATCCTAATTTTCGTCATTTTTCACATTTCGAGCTTTATCCTCATTTTCGTCATTTTCACTTTTTTTTTTGTCTTTTTTTTGAAAAAGGCGATGGCAATCCAGCGGCCTAGCTCAGTTGGTTAGGCATGCAAGTGGCATTCAGGAGGTTGTGGGGTCAAGCCCCATGGCCGCCTGCGGCGCACTTAGTGCCAACGGACTGTGATAGTCCTCTGGATTCCCCTGATAGGTATTAGCGGGGTCTATGACCAACACGGGTGTGAGTGTGAGCGCGAGTGGGTTGTGTGTGGTGTGTGGGAGAGTGTTGGCCATAGCCTCTGCTGCTACTCGATGAAGGGTGGGGGACGATG